GGTGGGGGTGGGGTACCGGATTGTGCAATCCAGCTTAGACTGCAGGGGGTAACCTTGTGGGGCAGATGGAGTAGCAAGCAGGGGGAGTCTGTAGGGGTGGTAGTGGTGATGAGGGAGAGGGACTGGGAAGGACTGAGGTGAGTGTTAGAAGTTAGGAGAGTGTTGGGCTTTCTCAGCAAGATAACCTACAAAGGAGGAACACAAACACCTCTAAAAATCCACACTGGGATCCTGCAAAGAGCATGGTCATCTCTTCCCTCTTCACAACTTCTCATAGGCTTTTCCATCTTATTAGGGAGAAAGAGGCCAAAACCAGGTGCAGGGCAAAATAGTGATAAGGGTTTGGGGGACAGGAACCAATCTCCTCACCCTGGATCAGAGCTTGTGGCCAGAGATCGCAGAGCTGTGGTGGAGGAGAGCTGCCCCCACAAACCCCCTCCTCCCTGCCTGTCCAGTCTGCATCAATTCTCCTACCTCAGGGCCTGGGTAACAGTGCTGAGAGTGAGGTTCATTTTACTTAGTATTTACCTAAAAGTTCAAGAAGCCCTTCCTGATATTTTTGCTTTGGGGCCCAGAATTTAAACTTAGTCACTGCCCAGAGCCCTTGTTTTAGGAAAGAATGAGATGGCCGTTGTTGCATAACCCAGAGCAGGGCGGGTGTGTGTTGCGAAGGAAACAGTCCCTCTTCCTCCCTCTTGTGAGAGGCCTAGGCCAGGCTAGGAGAGCTGGGGATGGGCGGGCACTGCCTGGGAAGGGTGGGTTGGGAGCAGCTGAGGTAGACCAGCGGAGCCAAGGCAGGCAAATGGGCAGACAGAAACACCCAGATCAGTCCCCCTACAACCCCCTCCATCCCCCCAGGGAACAGCACAGCCTGATGAATTTAGAAACACCAGTGGATGATTGAGGGGGAGGGGGACAGATTCTGGGAAAGGAGAGGAACGAAGGGCAGGCTGACCTGAAGGACAGGGGTGGGGTGGGGTCTGTTTTCTGGCCACAGTCTCCAAGAGCATCCAGAATATGGGTTCCTCTAGCTGCCCCCGCCCCCGGCCCCCAGTTTCAGCTGGCCAATTCCACCCTTTCCTGGCCCCCCGGGTGTTCAGCGCACTCAGCCTTGAGCACTCAGCCCCTCTCCAATCCTTCCAGACTCCACATGTCCCCGCCCTAATGCCAAGGTTTCCCACAGTTCATTCAAGGCGTATTCCTCCCTACCCTTCCCTCCATTTCACCCCCTGCTCCCCACAACCCTTTCTATGGTCTTACCCCAGTTAGGCCACAGTCACATCTCAAGGATACTTTCTCTTGCCCCTTCCCCAGTTTCACCCTTCTCCTCTCTCTTGGTCTACTTCTCTCATCAGCAACAGTTTCCCACAAGACCCCCTCATCTTTTCTCTCTCCTCACGTTTGCCCACATCCCTCTGGTGACCCCCACATACAGTCCCTTCCCAGTTCACTGTTAGCCCCCATCTTCTCAATCCCCAGCGGAGTCCCTGCATGCCCTTCCTCTTCCTACACGCAAACACTAACTGCATTTCAGGTTTGCTCCTTCATCCCACTCCCGACCTCCCCTTTGCCCACCCCTCCCCACTCTCAGTCGCTCCAGCCAGCTGTACAGCTCCCAAATTCCGGGCGAGATTCCCGGGAACAAAGCAAGAAAAATCAGAGCAATTTGGGAAGTAAATAGAAACTGGGAAAGGGGGGGACAGGGAAGAATGAGGAGGAGGACCCAGGTGGAGGGGGAGCCTTTCCAGTTCCACCCGGTTTAGGGAATGCCCCTGCCTTCTCCCCCACCTACCCCCCTTCACCTGGCTCTTAAAGGGCCCAGCCCCCGACCGGCGGCTACTTAAGGCGCAGGGGCGGCGGCGGGCAGCAGCTGCGCTACGACTGCTCTGGGAGGACTGGACGGGGCAAAAATCCTGACCATGACCCCCCAAAGGCTGCTGCCGCCACTGCTGCTGCTAACTCTGCTGTTCGCTGCCCGCCCAGGAGGCGCCTTGGCGCGGTGCCCAGGCTGCGGGCAGGGGGTGCAGGGGGGTTGTCCAGGGGGCTGCGTGGAGGAGGATGGGGGGCCGCCGGCGGAGGGCTGTGCAGAAGCTGGGGGCTGTCTCAGGACAGAGGGGCAGCACTGCGGGGTCTACACCCCTAACTGCGCCCCAGGATTGCAGTGCCAACCACCCGAGGACGACGAGGCCCCTTTGCGGGCGCTGCTGCTGGGTCGGGGCCGCTGCCGCCGGGCCCGCGCGCCCTCTGGTGAGTCTGCGCCCCGCCCCTGCCCCGCCCACGTGAGACCCGCATCTCTCCAGGCAGGGACCTGCAGAGATGGGCCCGGGCAGCCCTGCAAGCCTCCGGGTCCTGGTCATTGACGCTTCCTCCTCCCGGACCTTGGGGAGCACATTTGGGAGGGGGTACGGGGCAAGTGCGGCGAGCAGCTAGGGCTGGGGTGTGGCTGGGGGCCCTGGGGATAAAGCCGGGAGGTGCTTGAGCTCTCAGTCTTCTCTTTTGCTCCCTTTATTTTCTCTTCAGGGAAAAGGGTGAGGACGGGGATGGGGGTGGGGTGGAGGATTTTAGGACCATCCCGTGTGCCCCAGTAGGCCCAGCTCCTTCAACCCTAGTCAACCCAAGCTGGAGAAAGGACCCAAATGTTATTCCCAGCTTCCACATAGGGAAGGAGGGAAGGAATCCAAGACTCCCAAATTCTGCACACGCTGAGAAATGTCTTTCTCCCCTTTATACCAGTGTTCCAAGCACCTGAACATAGAGACTAGAACAGAAGATGCCCCAAATCCAGAGTTTTACCAGACTGGACCAGGGACTGAGAGCAGGCCCTGAGGGGCCTCGGGGAGGGAGAAAGAGGTGGGAAAAGAGGGAAACTGCCAAATCAGGGTTATGATTTTAACCCTCTTAGAACCCTCTACCCGCTCTACGCCACCCTACTCCTGGGAGGAGAATAGAAGACTTAGTCACTGGGTGGGTGGGACAAAAGTGAATCAGCACCCGAAAAATTGGGGACAACAGGGAGATGAAGAGAGCAGGAAATGCAAATTGCCCCCACCCCAGAAGCATCTGAATTCCTGTTTTCTTCCATGGAAAAGGATGGGAAATCAACTTGGAGTTTCTTACAGTCCCAAATGCCTGAGTCTAGGATTCTAAGGGTCCTCCTGGAAGGGGTGGGCTGAATGGGTCAGAGAAGGCAGTTTGGAGCATGATCATGGTTGGGTGCTAAATGGAGGGAATGAGGGACAAGGTCAGAGGAGGGTGAGGTACACCGAGGAAGAAGGATTGCAGAGAAAATGGCTCTGGGGTTGCTAGTAGTGGGCAGATGGGAGCTTGTCTTTGGGCATAGGGAAGGAGAGATGATCCCTGGGGTTCTAATATCTAATTTTATGCTGGGACAAATTCTAAGCAGTGCATACTCCCCTCCCTGCTGTTTCCTAGCCCTGACCTATTTCTTCACCCCTTTCCAGTCCTGAGCTCTCCCCAGCTCCCCCCACCCCCCGCCCCCGGAAACTTTATCCAGAGCCAGGAGCAACTTGCAGTTGGAAAATCCTCATCCCCTGCACCTTTGCAACCTGCCCTTAGCCTGTCCCAGTTAAGGGCTGAATCCATATGCTCCTGGGAGCACTGGGGTTGAGCTGGGCTGAGCCACAGGGGACCAGGAGGGAGAGGTCCCCACTGCAGTGCCCCAAAAGTAACCACATCTCAGGCCTGGGAGGGGTGGGCTGAGTCATGGCAAGGTCACAGCAGGGACACACATTCCACTTGGGTCCCTGTTGACCTCCTCCTACATCCGTTTCTCTTCTACCCCATCTCCCTGGCTTGGTGCACCCCCTGCTGGCTTCTGGTGGAACAGCCAGCTCTTTTCTCCCAAAGCCCAAATCCTCACCCTAACCAATAGTGCTTTGTATTTGTTCTCGATTTTTGCTTTCCAAAATGCTTCTCCTATACTGGCCAGCCACCAAAAAAAAAAAAGCTTCTCCCTTATAAGCCTTAGAATTACTCTGGGGAATATTGTCAGGAAAATTAATATACCTATATTTCAGAGAAAGAAACCAAGGCCAGGATATGGTATCGGTGGAGCTAGTTTCTTTTTTCTTTCTTTCTTTTTTTTTTTTTTTTTTTTAAGATGACCGGTAAGGGGATCTTAACCCTTGACTTGGTGTTGTCAGCACCACGCTCAGCCAGTGAGCCAACCGGCCATCCCTATATGGGATCCGAACCCGTGGCCTTGGTGTTATCAGCACCGCACTCTACCGAGTGAGCCACGGGCCGGTCCCCGGTGGAGCTAGTTTCTAACCCCCCTTACTTTTTCTCCTGATCCGTAAGTCCTTTCTTCTGCCCACTTCAGCAGGGTGGGCAAGGCTCTTCTCCACATGGCTCTGGTCTTTGGTGTCTGGGCTGATTTCTGGCCTCTTCTCCCATTCTTCCTGTGGTTGTAGAGGAGAATCCTAAGGAGAGTAAGCCCCAAGCAGGGACCACCCGCCCACAGGACGCCAACCGCAGAGACCAACAGAGAAATCCAGGGACCTCTACCGCTCCTGCCCGGACCAACTCTGGCGGTGTCCAAGACACCGAGATGGTAAGTTTGGGGCAGGTAGGGAGCAGGAGGGGTGGGGAGCCCTGGAGACTTCCATCTGAGACTGCTCCCTTGGGCCTGGAGAAATCTCCAACATCGGTCCTGGGCTGGTGGGGCCAGCGGGCTGTGCAGTGGAGCTGGATTGGAGCAGTTCTGAGCTGCCCGCTCTCCCTCCGCCAGGGCCCATGTCGCAGACACTTGGACTCAGTGCTGCAGCAACTCCAGACTGAGATCTACCGTGGGGCTCACACTCTCTACGTGCCTAATTGTGACCATCGAGGCTTCTATCGGAAGCGGCAGGTGAGACTACTCTCCTTCCCTTGCTCCAGTTCAAGGTTTCAACCAGATAGTCCGGGGAGGCAGGTATAGAGGGAGGCCTTACAAAGTTGCACAAATCAGGGGCTGGCTGGTTAGCTCAGCTGGTTAGATCACAGCCTTATAACACCAGAATCAAGGGTTCAGTTCCCTCTACCAGACAGCCTCCAAAAAAAAAAAAAAATTGCATAAATTAGACTTCAGGACCCACACGGACATAAAGAATAACCATTAGAGTACAGGACTTAGAGTACCTAAGGGATGGCCTAACTCAGTGGCCCTCAAACTTGAGGCATCAGGACACCTGATTCAGAGGTCTGGGGTGGGGCCTGAGAATTTGCATTTCTAACATGTTCCCTAGTGATGCTGGTGCTGTTGGTTTGGAAACCACGCTTTGAAAACTCTGTCTAGGGGCCGGCCTGGTGGTGCACTGGATAAGTGCGCCGCTTGGGAAGCGCGGCGGCGCTCCCACCCAAGGGTTCGGATCCCACATACAGACCGGTTCCCGCTCACTGGCTGAGCGAGGCGCGGGAGCAGCACCGGGGGTTGCGATCCCGTTGCCGGTCCCCGGTCCGGTACAGGGGCAACACTGAGGGTTGCGATCCGTTGCCGGACACGGAAAAAGACAAAAAAAAAAGAAAACTCTGTCTAGCCTAGAAGAATGGGCACAATTTAGTGGGTGAAGAGAGAGAACCAAGGGAAGGGAACCCAGTGGGCCTCACTGTCCTGAGGGAACCTTCAGATACTTCTGCATACTCAGACTCAGGAGTCCCTTCCCACTTCTCCTGCTGGAAGCCTAGGGCCTCGCCTCTGATCTGTGTGCCTTTTTCCCCAGTGCCGCTCCTCCCAGGGGCAGCGCCGAGGTCCCTGCTGGTGTGTGGATCGAATGGGCCAGCCCCTGTCGGGCTCTCCAGATGGTGTTGGAAGCTCCCCCTGCCCCGCTGGGAGTAGTGGCTAAAGCTTTCGGGAACTGCAGGGCCACTGGCAGGAGCATGGAGCTGTCATCTTGAGTTATTTGTTGAGTGATGAGTAACTTGGGGCTCTGAACCCCATGATCCACCTTTAGGCCCTGCCCCGTTGTCTCTCTCACCCCCGAGTCCTTATACATCTGGTTGGAAAGATTGCTGGTGTTGGCTTGGGGCGTTAATAAAACTGTGTCAGGGGTCTCTGGCCTATGTCTCTGTGTCCATCTCTCACATTTCTGGAGCCCCTGGCCCCCTCTTTACCCCCATTGCAGCCCACACATAGCACTTCTTTCCTGTGGACTACCTTCAGTCCATCCCACTGCACTTGGAATGCAGAAGACCGCCATTGGCAGAGGCTTCAAGAGTTGGGGGAAGTGGCAGAAGGGGAGACACTGAGATCATGGCTTCAATCTGAGGTTGCGACCTTGTTTCCAACACTGATCTTTGGACACAAGCGGAGGGGAAGGATTAATAGTTAATCCCCAGCAGGAACCCAACAAAGAGAAACTCTCAAAGCACTTATCCTTCTGTTACTTCCCACTAAAAAAGGGAAGGAAATTATTATTTATTGAGCTTACTCCACGGGCAAGGCTCTGGACCATGTGATTTTTCCAGGACTAGCTCATTTTGTGCTTACAATAATCTTATAAGGTAGGGATTTTTTACCCTTGTTTTTCGGTGGAGGAAACTGTGGCTTAAAAATGTTGGGTTATTTGCCTCAAATTATAGCCACTAAATGACAGAAGGAGATTCACATCTGGTTCTTCCACTTGTGACAGTACCTGGCATTCCTTGGGTGCTGAATAAGTGTCTGTTTAGCCTCCTTTCTGCCTACATGCTAACCCAGACAGGTAGTGTTCAGGGGCCCTGGCACCCAGCATTTTCCCGAGGGGCCACAGCACTATGAGTGTCACAGAAGCCAACCCCATCCAAATAATACTGCATGTACATATTCACACCCCTTACCTGAAGGTCTAAGGGAGCTAAAGGCACTGATACAGGAAGATGTTTCTGACGCCTCCCTGACCTTCAGCCTGTGGGGAGAGAGACTGGAAGGCAAGCCATGCTAGGTGATAAACCTCAGAGAGGCAAAGTTCACCTCCCCATGATGTACACAGCCTCCATTCCCGAGGCAGGGATGGCACACTTGGAGCTGGGCATCCGAGTGGTGGTTGGGGTATTGGGCAGATGTGGCCATTCCTGGGAAACAGCAGAACAGAACCCGTATCTGAGAAGTGCTGCCCTCCTGACAGATAGCCTATTGCACTTCAGAGGCCCCCTCCTCCTGAAAGGACTTTAGTCTTTGGAGCTGTCAGCTGAGCTTAGTGAGACAGGAGCTCGGCAGGCAGGCTGTGAAGGAAAGGAGGGAACACAGGCAACGGCCACTGCTGTCCACTCAAGACTGCCATCATGGAGCGAAGGGAGGCTCATTTGCAGAGGAGAGAAGGGCTGGGAACGGAGCAGGAATAGCCCTCTGGAGCAGGTGAGCCACCCTGTGGGAGTGCAGAAAGCTCAGGTGGGGCTGGAACAGAGAAGCATTATTGAGAGGAGGCTCCTACTGTCTCACTTCAATCCTTCCTGCTGTCCTGGGAGGCCAAGGAATGCAGAGCTTGGCCTCTGCCCCAAACCGCACAGCTGGGAGGTGGAGGAGAAAAGGGGTATTCCGAGCTGTGGCCATGCCTTATCTTTCTGGTCCTTTAACCCCAGAAGGTGAATGGAGCAGCTTCCTGTTCCCTGGATAGCCTGTTTCCAGAAACGTCATCAAGCTCCCTGCTTGTCAATGCTCTCCTCACCCCCTGCAAAAATAGCTTCCCCTTCTAGTTGCCTCACCCATGATACTAGATATCGAGTTGTTGGGGAGTGGGAGGCTGCTGAGCATTCAGGAAGCATTTCCTGGCTAGAGGATGCCTGGGAGGGGGGAGTCTGCACAACTAACTCCTAACTCCTCCCGCTTAAGTGTGCCCTTTGATCCCTCCCCCTAGGAAACACTGAGATGCACAGAGCTCCAGACTTGGTGCAACGGACCCGACAAATGGAGGTGAGGGATGTCAGAGGTCAGGGGTCAAGATGGACAGGTCCTAGGGTGGCAGGAGGCAGGGGTGAGGACTGGCGTGGTGATAAAGATTATTTGCTCTTGAGTTTGAAGATCAGGTTAGAATTAAGGGCTAAGATGGAGGGGTTTGAAACACAGGTCCTCAGGGAAGGGGCCAAAAGTCAGCCAGTGAATGGGATCTTCCTGTTAGTGGAGCTAGAGGTCGGGGGTAAGACTGAGGATCAGAGGTGATGCGGCTGGAATTCAGACCCAGGTAGTGGAAGTGCTGCTCCTACTCTCATTCCTTGATCTTCACTGCTGTCCTGGGAAGCCAGAAGGAGATCAATTCTGGGGGAATCTCTGGACAGGAATCATGGCCTGTTCATCTTTCTATCCCTAGCTTAGCACTGTGCCTGGGGTAGAGAGAAGCTCAGGAAATGTTTGGTGAATGGAAGGACGGCTAACTGAACAGAAGGACAGTGGGGACTGCCCTGGCTTTGTCCTGTAGGCTGTGAAGACACAAATGCTGAAGCAAGCACACGGACAGCTGCTGGATCTGCTGGATGGGGCCATGTGGAAGGCTACACAATCCCATCTGCCACAAGGCAGATCTTTGCCCTCCACTCCCCCAGATTCCTTGAGCAAGTGAGTCCGAGGACCCAGGAAGCTGGGGAATGGCTACAGTGGGCCCCTCCATCGTAAAGATCATGTGTCATAAACATCATCTCATGTGCCCTTTCCCAGCCTTGGCGTGACCCTGATTTCAGCTTTCCCTTATCATCTTGTCTTCCTGACCCTGGCCTCTACCATCTGGGCCTTGCTCTGTCCTGGCCCCATCCTTTCTCCTGGTCCTGCCCTGTAACCCTGGCCCTGACCTTCCCCTACTACTGCCCTTGGCTCCCAAGTATTGGCCTTCTGCATGGCCTGCCCTCTGCCCTCTGCCTTCTTCTTTTGGGGCCTGTATTAGTTAGTTTCCTGTTGTTCATAACAGAGTACCTGAAACTGGGTAATTTACAAGAAAATGAAATTTATTTCTTACAGTTTTTGAGTCTGGGAAGTCCAAGGTCCAGAGGGCACATCTGGTGAGGGCCTTCTTCCTGGTGGGAACTCTCTATAGATTCCCATGGCAATGCAGACAATCATAAGGCAGAAATGGCAAGAGTATTTTCATGTGCTCTCCTTATACAGCCACCAGTCCACACTCATGATAACCCACTAATTAATTAACCCATTAGTGGATTAACCCACTTATGAGGGCAGGACCCTCATGATCCAGTCATCTCCTAGAGGCCCCCCCTTTCAACACTGCCACGTTGGGGATCAATCTCCCACATGAGCTTTGGAGAGAACAAACATTCAGACCATAGCAGAGCTTGACCCTGAACCACTGTCTCAATTCAGGACCTGGGAGCCATCTCTGGGGAAACAGAAAGTATTCATTATCCGCAGATCCCTGCTTGAGTAAGTCATGGTTGAAGAAAGGGCATGGGAAGAAAAGAAAGGCCTTTGGCTAGGGATCCAGGACACCTCATTCCTCATTCGCAGGCTTTGGATGGTTTGCAGGGGAACTAGGAGAGGGTTTCTAAGGTTCAGTTTCCCCTATTTGCCATGGGTGTGGTTGCAGAAGAAAGACACCAGGATGAGAAGTCCTGGCAACATCCCAGCCCTTAACTGGAAGTTCTGGGTCACTAGGTGCATACCTTCATGTGTCCAGTGCCTAACATAATCCACATGACTTGAAGACTCTCCCACACTGACCTTTGGACCCCTGTCCCTCCAGTGAGCTGATGGAGGTACAGCACTTCCGCACCATCTACCACATGTTCATCATCAGTCTGTGTCTTCATTATCAGCACACTGGCCATCGACTTCATTGATGACGGCAAGTAGGCCCCCGCCCACCTGGGATAGGCACACTGATCAGATCAGACCCCCTGGGTTCCCAGCGTCCCACCTGCCGCTGGCCCAAAGGGCACAGTTCCCCCTTTGATTATCAGACATACATTAACATTGCTTCCAATAACCTTCCCACCTAAAACACTCTCTTGGACTCCTTCCTTCCCCAGCCTTGGATGGCCCTTGGTCTGTCTTCCCAGGGCCAGCCACTCAGGGGACACCATGCCCTGAGGCAGATGTACCTGTGTGTGCACACACACTCCTCTCCAAGTCAGTTATATTCATTTCGAGCAACCTCCACTGAGCACCTACTCAGTACCAGCCCTGGGAGCCAGAGAGGTAAGGGGAAGACCACATCCCTATGACGCACTCCCAATTTTGTGGGGAAGTCAGACATGCACACAAGACAAGTGCCTTGGTGAGTCCTTCTTTCCCACAGAGCACCCACCCACCCCCACCC